AAACATTTTCATAATTTGTTGGGGGTTTTTTTCCCTCTATCTTGGTGACACTATGAGTGGTATGTTCATTATGAGCAGAAATGCAAGAGTGATAGAGAAAGGTCAGAATACGAGACGGGATTATGGGACTAGGAAATCAGTCCCAAGAGGGTCTGTCTTTAAAGCCAACAGGGACCAGGAAACATCTCTAAGTGCATCCGGTGTCAGAAAGCATGAGCATTTAGGACGTCATCAGAAATGGGCATTTCATGTTCTCCCTTTGGTGGCTGTGCAGCGGATCGCGGCTGCTGACCTTCCTGTCAGGTCCTCGCCCTCCGTCCGTAGAGGAGACGTATTAATGTTGCAGTGAGTTCTTATCTCAGCCTTATCCACCGTCATGTGGTGAGTATATGAATAACATCTTTGGGTTCAGAGACATGGTTGTAGGGTAAAATATACGGAGTGAATTTTGTGGCAATATTATTGCAAAGAACCTTTTTTTTAATGGACATTTAAAAAAAAATGCAATCAAGAAAATAAACTTTGAAAAAAACCTTTTTAAATCGAAAAAAGCAACTTTACTGTTTATGAGACTTGATTTAATTTTTTTTCAAAAATATCTTTCAAGTTTTTTTTAGTTTTGTTTTGCAAACGTCCATCAGACCAATAGAAGTGAGTCGTTGTTCCTCACTTGAGATGAAAGCCCGCCCTCAGATGTGAAGGGAACGCTATCTTTAAAACAAAATTTGATTGGAATGCAATTCTTACTATATAAAAATCAATGTGAAAGTATACATTATTTAAAGCAATGTTGAAAAAATAAAAACTGAAAAAATATAACAATTCGTTTTCTAGCCTTATTGATATTTTCTGGATATATTTGAGTTCTTAGTTTTGCTTTGATGCCCTCTGTTGCCCTCTTGTGTTGGTCTCCTTTTCCCCAGCTCCTTCTAGGGTCCTCTGTTCACACCTGCTCCCAATCAGCTCCTTAGTCCTGTCATTGCTCAGTCTCCCATATATACTCTCTCAGTGCAGTTGCTCAGTGCTGGTTCCTTGTCTCTCCCTGTCTTTCCCTGGCTTTACCTGGCTCTTTATGCGTGTTTTCCCTGACGTCTCCATGGTTCTGATTTGTTTTGCATTTTGAAGTTGATAACTCCATTAAAACTACAAGAACTCACCTGTGTCTCCTCACCTCTGCATTTGGGGCCTGAAAACCTCAACCAAACCCCGACAATAAGTAGATCCATATCCACTGACTTTTGAACCCACAAAGTCTGAAGTTTTTATGGAATAAACTGGAAATAAACCTGAAAAAGTAAAGAAAAATATGGAAATGCCTAAGTAATTGTTTTTTTCATCCTCTGCAGGAAAAAAAAAGCAAATGAAATTCAAACCTCACTTCTAGTGACTTTAAAGCTTTCTCGTCTTTATTGGGATAAACTGGTCTATATGGGGGGGATCTCGCCTTTAATAGTTCTTGATACCCGCTTTGTGCATCTTCATATTAGACCCTCCATAACAGGGATCACCATCATTGTAACTTTGATAGCAGCTTTCTACTTCTCTCCTTCTTCCTCTTCTTTTCAGCACTGGGGTACCTTCTTATCATCTTCCTTCTCTTTTCTTTTTTCTCTTGTTCCCACCTCTTTGTGGCGTTTGTTTTCATGTGTTTTGGTACTGCCTTCCCCGATCCTTTCTTCACATGCTCAGTTAGATGGACTGATACAATTTAGTGGAGACTAAAGCAGGTCCTGAGTAAACACTATGCATTCTGATGGCATATTATTTAAAGGTATAACTATATTAACCACACATGTATGAGTAGTTATTTGGCCTAATTGGTAACTCCACCTTTGTAAAGGATATATCATCCCAACCTTAAGGTTTATTTAGTTTTCATTGTTTAGTTTCTTTATGAATCAGAGCAACTTTATTCTTTTGTATAAATTTTTACTATGGTATGTTTTTTTTTTCAGGAATATTTTTTCTAATTTTGTTATTTTGAATATATCAATTTTAAATTAGGTTTTCATGTATTTTAATTTTTAATGTATTAATTTATTTCTATTTTGATTAGTTTTATTTTGTATTAACTTATCTTAATTGGACCTGTTCACCTTTTTGGTGTACTGTAACATTGTTTACAGCATGTTATGTTAGCTTTTCATGACTTTTTAATTCTGTTGTGTGACGTTTCCATTTAATATTTATTTCTGTTTATAGATCTTTTTCATTTAGTTTATTTCATGTTGTAGTGTTTAGCTTTGCATTTGATTCTGCTGGAGTTTTTTTTTTTTACTGAGTTACTTTTGTATGACTGCAGGTTTCTATCTTTTAAATATGTTTTTTCAAAATTATTTTCCATCTTAGCTGATCAAGTCAAGTTTTTTTTTTCTTGACATTGACTATACCTGTTCACCTTCTTTCATGACTAAATTACATCATTTAAAGCTAAAGCATCTTTCAGAAGGTGAGGGGCCTATCCCACCTTGCCGATGAAGCCTGTGCTGAACTTTCTATGTATTTATTTCAGTTTTAGGTGTATACAGGGGCGTTGCTAGGCACAAAGATTTACTGGGGCACTGGCCCCCTAGTGCATATGCCCCTCCTTCCATACATAAATACAGACAAGCACACT